GTGTGTGTGTGTGTGTGTGTGTGTGTGTGTGTGTGTGTGCTAAAAATACAGAGCTTGTGTGTTGTCAATATAAAAACTAACAAAACATAATTCAGACTTTTTGTCTTGACCTGTAGATGGAAAACATTCTGCTGACAGATAACGGTGAGTAAATTAATCCCCAGCAGGGAGCAGCAATGCTCTGTAAAGCAGGAGCTTAAGAAGGTTTATTTTTATTTTTATTTTTTTTGTTATACTATTTTTATATTGGTGTTCTTTGCATTGAGGAACACACGTGTTCATGATGAAGGCTCATGGTGATGCAGAGGTCTGTTTTAGGTCACCTCCGCTTGGCTGACTTTGGTTTGTCCCGTCGCCTGGAGAGAGGAGGCAGAGCCTTCACSATCTGTGGAACCATCCAATACATGGGTGAGAAAAACTGAAATAAATCCTTTTTATTACTCCACTCTGTTGCGGAGTGAAGCTATGAACATAAGAGCATAAACATATAAGGAGATGAGAGTGTTGCGTCTGCTCTGCAGCCCCCGAGGTGCTGAGTGGTGGACCCTACAATCACGCAGCTGATTGGTGGTCACTGGGAATCCTGCTCTTCTCATTGGTTACTGGGAAGGTGAGCGCTTGTTTCCAGCACATCCAGCAGGGGAAGTTTCTTCAGTGACAGCTGATGTTTGACCAATGGTGCGTCTCCACAGTTCCCCGTGCCTCCAGAACCAGACCACTGCAGCATGCTGAGGAAAGTCAGGGGTTTTCCTTACGAGATGCCCCTCAGCTTCAGCCCCCCACTCTCCCTCTTAATAAGTGAGGTAATTCCACAACAGCTGATGACACTGATGATTTCTTTTGTGTTCGTTTGACGATGATCTTCACACGCTTCTGTGCAGCTTTTGTGCAAGAATCCCTCCCGCCGCCTGAGGAGCCTGGATCGTTTCAAACGCCAGACTTTCTTCCACAAAACAACATTCGACTTCGACCTGCTGCAGCGTCAGCCTGTGGAGGTAAATGGGCCAAAATTACTTTTATTTTTTTAATCTTCTTAAGCTCAAATAAGACAAATTGAAAAGGAGCTCAAGAGAGCTGATCTGATGTYTTCAGGTGATTTTGGAGTTGCGGGAAAGGCCAGACCGCGCCGCCAAAGCTCGACGAGGCCTCACGTTGTCCCTGCAGCCTCTGAGGGGCTTCGACTTCGACTCGCTCCTCAGCCCCCCGACTACGRCGGAAACGCAGCCGGACGCAGAGGCGCTCGCTCGCCCGGCCGCACCGCTGCCCGGCCCGGCGCTGAGGGCCCCTCGAGGGACAGGAGCACGCAGAGAGGTGTTTGTGTGACAGACTCTGAGTTTACAGGCGGACTAAAATAAGAAATGTCTCATTTGGGAAAAATAAGATAAAAAAAGAGTTAAAATTGACATAAAAAGCACCAGGTTTTCCCCCTTTGCTTGTTTGCCTTTCTTCATTTAGCGCCTCTTTTTAAGCCTTTTTCTTTATTTGATTGTGTGATTTTTACCCATCTCAGCTTTTTCACTCTGGACCTTTCAGTGCTTTTTAATTCAACCCCACATAGAAAAGTTGTGCTCATTTTTATCTGTGCATCATATTTGATTATTTTCATTTGTAGCTTTAGAAGTCTAGTAATTTCATGAACTTTTACCCTTCTTTGTTGTGTTGCATCCTTACAATACATTTGTTTATGCAGAAGTGGACAAAAGAAACTTGTGGTTTTCTTTCTGGTTTATTTTATTTTTATTTTTCCTGTAAGGTAAAATGATTTAAACTTCACCTTCTCTGTTTATAGGTTCTATAGAAGGACTTTCTCMCCTCCTATGAATGATTGAACTAAAGCAAACATCTAAACCTCAGATTCTGATCTGCACGACTACGACTTTGCATTTATTTTCYTTATTTTTCAGAGGAGCACTCTCAGGTTCTTCCAATTTAACCTCAATGTTTGCACCTAAATGTGCAGATCTGAGCAGGAATGATGAGCAACAAGTCAAATCCTCACTAAAAACTTTGTTTACCTCTATTTCATCTTGGGTTTTTTTTWAAAAATACAAGAATATTTTCTAACATTCAAAGCTGCTGCACCTCCTGATCTTAAAAACCTGCACTGACCTTTTCTCTGAATGCCTCACGTCAGTCTCAGCTTGCTTTTTTAACTCACAAAAATACTTGTGTACATAACTGTACAATTATGCACCTCCTTATAAAGTTCTTATGAATATTACAGAGAATATTTCGTACCAATGTTGTGTTTTACAGTATAGATATTAAGTTTTTCAAACAGATTATACAAACGCTTTGCTGAATTATTCTGCCTTTGCAGCACTGAAGGAAGTAAGAGTTGTGGTGAAGACTCCTGAAATGATTTTTCAGTGTGTGAATAAAAGGTCAATATTGCTTCACTTTCTCAGCGTATTGTGCCATGTTATTTCCTCAGATTTACAGGATATGCTGGATTAAGAAATCACATTTCTATTTGCTTAACTTGGTTGAGTTACTTAACATGCCTCACTTATATATCAAGATCATTTTTAAATAAAAGGCTTCGTATTCCTTAAGGGAATTAATGTCATCCTAACATTAACAGTTCCAGTGTCCAAAAGAAGCATGCATGGTGTTAATATTTAACCCAAAAATATTGTATAGAAACAAAATAAATGCAGGGACTGACTTACTTTCAACAGAGGAGCAGAAGTGGAAAACCTAAATACAGGCATGGAGGCCATCTAATAACAAGCACTGACACTGAGTTAATCTTATTACAAGACACATCTTGTGTCAGAAAACCACACTGTTCCTCAGACAGTTTCAAACATATGTTATTTTAAATCACTTTTAAATACCGAGATTTGTTGAAGCTTGTAAGCTTTTGATACTTTCATCTTCACAGACAAACTTAAAAATCTCATTTCCTTTAGAACAATAAAGTAAAAGTATATTCCCGACTGCTTAAAGCAGATTTACTTTGTTTTGGTTCAGGTGGATGTTTCAGGTCTCACTGCAAATGTTTCTTCAGTTAGTCTGACCTGACAGATGTTTAACCTCCTGTAATGTCGTTAGCACTTTGTATTTATGAGTCCTTGGGGGTCATAGAAGGTACCAGGTTAATTGTCATTGAAATGGGAGATAGCAACCTTGCACACATCTGTCTGTGCAGAAGGTGATCATTAATTAAGAGTAGAGTTTTGACCCTTTCATATATATGGAAATAGTTTCCCTGTATACACATGTAGGTAAACAGCAAAAATAACTCCATTAATCAGGATCAACACCACACCTTACGCCCTGGGGAAAGATCACACTACGCAAAGATCATAAACTACCAGAACTGGAAAAGGGTTTGTCACTGACTGAGGCCCTTGTTTCCTTACTTCAAGAAAAATAAATCACTCGGATGAATCGTTTGCATTATCAGTTCAATCACCTATGCAGAAAAATTCTTGGCATATTTAGCTGCCTGAAGACCACTTATCTAAAGAGCAGTAATGGTTTAAAAGACAAACAAAGGTATGATTTCCATTTTTTATTATAACTTGGCATGCATCAAGAAAGTGTTGACCTTTTCCACACTCTGCCATAAGATTAGACATATTCAGAAGCAATATTAAAGATTAAAGTTATAAGGTAAAGTTAGCCACATTAGTCATATTGCCAATTAACAGTATATTATTTGTAATTTCTTATTAACATGTCTGAAGTCATTATATCAACATTATTAAATATTATATCGCAGCCCCTTAATTGAGACAAGGCCAGAACATCATTATGGCCATGTGTTTGTCAATTTTATTTTAGAAAAATGAAAACAGAATTTATGTATATAATTTTAATGTTAGTTAAAATGCCTGTCTTTTCAGCTTTGTTTTGTCTGTGCTTTTTTGGAAAGTCATAACTTTTTTTCTTGAAGTTTTAAATGGGGAGAGAGAAAAATGCAGAATCATCTGCTCCCTCCTCCCTGAGTGGAGATGGTGAACCGGCGCATGCGCGTTGTATACGTAGCTCCATCATATGACGCAACTGTTGACTCCGCCCCCCTGCCAGAGAAGCTTTGAAAAGGGTCACGTTGCGCTGCAGCAGAGAAACAGGAATCAACTCCGCATCCTCTGAACACTCCCCACCTGCTCTGTGTCTGCCGAAGACAGAAATCTTTAGGTAAGAACCAGAACGAACCTAAAGCGATATAACACCTTTACGCACTGCTTATTTTCTCTGTTAACCGCGCGGACGTGGATTTCAGCGTTGATGCTGATGGGAATGTCAATGATGCTGCTCTACAACCTTATGCTAACTTGTCTTTCTAGCTAGCTTAGCCGAAATAATATACCGCTGCTATAACTCGTAGCTTCTATATTGTTAATTACTCACAATTAAAAACCTTTTAACTTTCCACAGTTCACCATGTCAAATATCTCAATGAAATTGCGCATTTTTTGCCCGTCTACGAGAAATACGCAACAGGAAGGGCGTAAAATGGTTGACCTTCAAGGATGGAAGTGAAGGAGAAGAGCCTGCTTCGACGGAGTTAGAATAAAATCAGCGCCTCGTGGTTCTGTACTTTAAAACATCTTTCATTTGAGACGGTTTTTGGCTTAAAACGTGGATAGCAGAAGCGGTGATGTGGGAGGGCGGTGATGAAGTCGTTTCCTGTGAAGGGAGCGTGTCTGCTCGGGCGCACGTACACCTCTGATGTGACGAAGGAGGAGGGCAGGGCGTGCGGAGGAGACACGCTCTAATTACGTCATACACATCTGTACGTGAAAAACCGTCACGTGACGGGGTTATTTTTTGACCTAAGGAACAATTAAAGTTTAATTATCTTCTTACATGAATCAAAAAAAGCATATTTCATTCAGTCAAATAGTAACTATGTATATAAATATATTTTATTGAGTTTACATCAGTTTCTTGTGTACACATTAAAATGAAACATGCCATTTTTAATAGTTTCTTTGCAGAGTGAACTGCAATAATCCATTTTATTATTATACCATTAATCTATTTATCTTCCCTGAATGACAGCATAGTCATATTTAACCTGTAATTTCAAATGATTTAAAAACTTGAAAACTCACCTGTGTTTTTAAATTAAAATGTTGCTGTAGATTTGTGTCAGACACTCTTCAAAATATAACCGGCTCATCACAGCCTTAACATTGGCTGTTTAAGCTCCCGAGCTTATGGGTAATAGTGCTCCTGCTAGTGCTGCTGGATCAAGGCCTGACAATACCAAAACACAAGGTTGTTCATCAGCGCCAAGGTCATCAGCCCCTGTGGTTTAAAAAAAAAGGTAAGAGCAGGCAGACTGTTTCCATTTCTGCTACACTGGAGCCATTTTAGGTTTTTGACGCTCTCACAGCTTGCATCCAAGAGAAAATAATTCTGATCAACCTTCAAGGAATAACTAAAACAGAGAGTGGAAAACAAAAACAAATTGCTTATTTTTCCAGAGCGCCATCCTCATGGCCTTTTTTTTTTTTTAAGTTTTATTAATTGCTCTCTAACTACAATGCCAGCCTTTTTTATTTGTTTAAATCCCACTTCTCTCCACCTGCAGCCCAACATTGTAAATGCCATTCTCTTTTTACATCTCTGTAGTATTTTATATATATACATTTTAGGATACTGTGGCCAGACTTGCTTGTCTTCTTAATATTAAAGTGTTTCTGTGTGACGCAGCAGGGAGTTGGCCGTGCACCTTGATGTCGCAATGCAGACCTTGTGTTTGTCTTGATGAGGCAAACCGCTGTGCAACAGGCTGGAGTGATAATCTGGGACATGACTTGAGAGAAAGCTAAGAAACCTACATAGTAATAATGTCCACTTTCTCTCTTGAAATTCAGTTTAATTTGACTGCTAACAGAGAAACACTAACATTAATGAAGAATCAGTTAAGATTAAGTGTGCCTAAGCTAAGGGAGGGGAGCATGCATTTGCATGAGAGGGTTTTGAGGTGTACTGTGGGTTTAAAAAACCAGTCAAACTTTCCGCTCCTGTAGTTTCAACTTCTTTTTAATGAGATGCCAGAGTCAGTGTGGGGTTTTAACCAGTCATACAGAGCATAGTCACTCCTCATTTCTTCATCGGGCTATTAGTCAGTGGTGTGTGTAATGACTCGAAGAAGGGGAAACCCCCCATGAAACGTTTCCTTCATTAAAACAAAGATGAGATCGGCTCTCAGAATTAGCATCTTTCCAATGAGGCTCTTTTCTGTGAGATGGCGTGACTAACTAACATGCTAACATCAGTTGTCAGGATCCTAACATTACTTTATAAAGCGAGAGCACAAAAAAGACTAATAGTCAGCATAAACTTTACTTTTAGTTCGAAAATTAAATTTATCAGATCAGTTCTTATAATAAATAAATATGCATTTTTAATTTGTAGGTTTCACTGTGTTGCAGAGACGTACTATAATTGCGACATGATGCTCGTGTCCAACCAAGATAGTTGTGATTTTTTTACAAAAATAATTTCCAACATACTGTAAACGTATTTATAAAAAGAACACAGGCTTTGCAGCTTGTGTATAAGATGTGTGAAGGTTTGTTCTTTTTCCTCTCATGATCCCCAGTGGATTGTTTCCTGGATACATTTAGGCACATTTCTAAAACAGAAATCAATAACGTTATGTCTCCAGCAACCGTGAGTCTATGCCAGGAGCAAAATCTGCCCTTCATCTTGTCCTCATCTCACCAGTTTGTGTTGCAGGCATTCATGCCATTAATGTCCAGACATGACTGGAATGTAATTGTAATGAGTCAGCAAGAATGGAACGGGTCACCTGACACCCCTCTTCTAGCGAGAACCATTGTCAAATTTGAGGAAGTAAAAGGTAGTTTCATTTAACCAGGAAATATTATTTTTTTATGTCTCGTGTTATAAATTAAAGCAGGATTTGTGTAAATAATTGGCTATTTATAGAATTAGTTCTATCACACGGGTGCATCTAAACTTTAGTGGTTTTCTTAATCAGCAGCAGTCAAACCACAACACACTAGATAACATAAGAAGCTATTTATCTATGAGCAACAGCTTTCCTCCCTGTAACTTCACAACTATGCTACTGTAAAGATAAAAAAAGGAAGAGATAAGATGGAGTTGATTTTTCTAAGGTGGATTTAACATTGAGACTAATTTAGTTCAAATGCACCATATTATGTTAACGTTACCAGACAGGCACCACATGTTCTAATGCCCAGATAAAGAGTTGCAGTACATCTTCTCCATTATAGATGACCTGCCAGCCAGCTAAACTTACAGGCAGGTTACGGTCAGACTAAAAAATAAATAAACCTGTTTTTACCGACAACCACTAAAGACCGAATAAAGGTTTTCAGAAATCAATAAAATTGTCAGTAAGAAGCTGGAAGAACTGGAGTGAATGAAAGAATAAAACCACCTCCTGTCCTTTCATTAGACTGATTATGTGTGTGGTGTCCTGCCTCTGACATATGATCACCATACAGCTCTGTTTGCTCTCAGGTCTGTTATCTAAAACCTTAATCTCCACAGAGAATTGTTTTGATAAAGACACTCAAAACACTTCACGTATTCTCCAACCATCATTGTTTTTGGCTACGTGTTGCACAAAAAGTACATTTCACGTGGATTTTACAATAATTTTGCAATGTTTCCTCTGCAGAAACTTGAGCACAATTGAACCAGAGCCACTGAAAGTGTATTGTTGAAGCACACAGGTGCCCCGCAAAAGATATCAGGTATCTGCTGAGCGTGACTTTTGTGTGACACAAGAGTGTGGCCACATAATTGCTTTTTTTTTTTATCAAGTATAAATATTTCCTTTAACTCACTGAAATCATCTGTCTGTAGCTGATACTCCTGAAATAGCTGTTCCCAATTAGAAGTCACTGTTTCCCTGCAGGCCTGGCCTGTTTTCACCTCTGTGTAAAATGTGACTAACAGCAACAAACGGTACCTGCAGGCCCTTATAATTGAGACGCCTGTGTGTGCTCAGGTTGTTCTGTGGCTTTAAGCTGAGGATTAACGTGGGGCACTGCAGAGTCTTATCACAGCAGACAGGCCTTAWTCAGGAATTGTTTATTCTAAATTCAGTGTTCTGAAACTGGTTAAAATAACATTTTTATGTGTATTCACTGTGGTTGGACCTTTTATTTAAAGAAAAAAAACATTAATTTAACTCACCACTGCAAATTTTTGTATGGAATACATTGATCCACAGCTGACCCATTATTGTGACACATGCTTGTGAAGCGGTGAACAGAGCTCTAATCACAGTGACGGCGCAGTGAGCCAGACAGGCGAGCCGGAGCTTGTCTTCTGGCACYTTCTACTGAGCCTCTGTGAGATGTGTTTTGATTGGAGATGTTTAAAAACTACGTGAGTTCAGCTTTTAAGCCTTTTGATGGAGTTAAAAAATGATAGTCACAGAGCGGCAGCGTTAAACAAGATGAGCTGACAAAATGGAAGRGACGTTATCGAGTGTAATTGATAACATTAGGACACAGGAGGAGGAGTGTTGCTATGGGAGAGGAGAACCAGCATCCAGTCCTGCAGCTAATCTGAGTCCTGGAAGCGGAGTCTGTGGAAGTGTTTGTTCCATAACACCCCACCGTCTGCTGTGACTACGACACAGAGAGGTGGGGGAGGAGTTGCGTAACTGCTTGCTGACGGCTGAGCGAGGAAGGAAGGGAATAAGGAAAAGAATCTGGTGCGAGGCCTGTGCACGACTGCTTCCACCAAACAGATTCAGTGAGACTGAGACCAGATGGTCTCATATCGTCACCAATTCATGAGAACGAGGAAGTTACATCAAAATGTGTTTATACTCAACGTAAAATACAGTCTGTGGACATTTCCTGTGGGAAGAGCTTCCTCTTACATGCACCGATTTTTATTGTGACCCATCACATCGAAACGAGGATTAAGTCTAAAGGTGGAATGTGGAAAAAAAAGGCAGATAAGGGTTTTGATTTAAACGTGTGCAAAAATTGCATTTTGTCAAAATGAATTCATCAATGAATTGTTTGAATGAACTGTTTGAAATATAATCCTAAAAAACTTTTTAAGCTTATCAAAATGTAGCTTTTAAAGCTAGGAATCTGAAAATGTAATTAGGTCATTTTGACCAAATTTGACTTAATCCTCATTTTGATATGATGGGTCACATTTATTATAAATCTGAGTAATCRCTCATCAGCGCTTTCTCGTTTCCGCCCAGTGTTCTGTCCGGTGCTGTGGAAAGTTACCCGTTATTTTCCAGACAATGGAGGGACAAGAAACGGGGGCCAGAGCTGGGCTGTTGCCAGCGTTAATGCACCGTGATAAAACGTTGATCTCCTGTTTGTCTTTCAGCCACCATGACTCACCAGTACCCCGCACTGACTGCTGAGCAGAAGAAGGAGCTGCAGGACATCGCTCTGAGGATAGTAGCTCCAGGGAAAGGCATCCTCGCAGCCGATGAGTCCACCGGTACGTTTGTGTGAAATGTTTTCGTTGCCTCTAAATTTACTCTGGCGAAACTAAAAACAGCAATCATTTGATATTGATCCAAAYGGCCTTTTTATTGAATAAGTATTTAAAGCTGTTAGGGAAACGCAAGGTCATCTTTAAAGTCCATCTTTGTGGTGATTTCAGGCAGCATGGCGAAGCGCTTTAACCCCATTGGGGTTGAGAACACCGAGGAGAACAGGCGCCGCTACCGCCAGCTGCTGTTCACCGCCGACGAGCGCATCGACAGCTGCATCGGAGGGGTCATCTTCTTCCACGAGACCCTCTACCAGAAGACAGACGATGGCACCCCCTTCGCCAAGCTCATCAAAGACCGCGGCATCGTTGTCGGCATCAAGGTGCTCCACTTATGCCTCAGCTGGCAAACCTGGAAAGGTTTTAGGATTTGTTAAATGTTACATGTCAGTGTAGTAAGATTTAAAAGCTTTCCCTTCTTTGGTTTGTCTCTGTCTCTTCTGCTCCAGCATTGTTCTGCAGCCAAATGTTTCAGTTTAGCAGGCAGGAATACTGTCACGTGTAGTTTGATGTGCAACACTGGAAACTACACAAAGACCTAATAAAGGCGTGTTTACATTCAGGATCAYATTGTGAGGACAAACTTGGCTAAAAAAGCCTTTCGGGTGTATTTTTGTGAAAAGACTTGAAACTTGGTTTTGTTTCTGAGATGTTTCTGTTTGTCTCCTTGTTTTAGGTTGATAAAGGTGTTGTGCCCCTTGCTGGAACCAATGGAGAGACCACCACCCAGGGTAGGCAGCATTACAAAAGCTATCCATCTAACCAAGTTTTAAAATCTTATATTCAGCCAAAAAGTCTTTTTGATCTTGTTTTGAGACTGATTTAGTGAACAAGAACTGATTGTGTAAGAATAATAATCTTGTTTTCAGAATGTGTAAGATTATTTGTCTTGTTAGCCTGAAAATTTGACTCAAAGTCAGAAATTTCTGCCAATGGAGTAAGAAAATTTTACCTGGTAAGATTTTTGAAATAGGAAAAAATTGAGTCAAATCAAGTAATTCAAGAATCTTACCAAGTAAAATTTTCTTACTCCATTGGTAGAAATTTCTGACTTTATTTGAGTCAAATTTTCAGGCTAACAAGACAAATATTCTTACACATTCAGTTCTTGTTTAGTAAAACAGTCTCAAAACGAGATCAAAAAGACTTTTTGACTGGATATAAGATTTTAAAACTTGGTTAGATGGACAGTTTTTGCAGTGTGCTTCCAGAAACTTAACAAAAAAGAACACATCTGTGTGTCTAACGGATGGTTCTGTTGGTGTAGGTCTGGACGGGCTGTCTGAGCGCTGTGCGCAGTACAAGAAGGACGGTGCCGACTTCGCCAAGTGGCGTTGTGTGTTGAAGATCAGCGAGACCACACCGTCTGAGCTGGCCATCTTTGAAAATGCTAACGTACTGGCCCGATATGCAAGCATCTGCCAGCAGGTTGGTGTGAAACTATCAAGGAAATTATATTTTAAAAAACTAGTTGTTTCAGCGAAAACTAGAAAATTGAATTTATTCTTTGCACCTCTTAGAATGGTATTGTCCCAATTGTGGAGCCTGAGATCCTTCCTGATGGAGACCACGACCTGAAGCGATGCCAGTACGTCACTGAGAAGGTAAACTATCTGTAATGAGAGATACTCGAGTCAAAAAACTCCACAGAAAACCTTATATTTCTTGTCTTTCTCCACATCGTGCTGTTAGGTTCTAGCTGCTGTGTACAAGTCTCTGTCAGACCATCATGTGTACCTGGAGGGAACATTGCTGAAGCCCAACATGGTCACACCTGGACACTCTTGTCCCACCAAGTTCAGCAGCGAGGAAATCGCAATGGCGACCGTCACTGCCCTGCGCCGCACCGTTCCCCCAGCTGTCACAGGTGGGGCTAAAACACGAGACTTTACTCCCATACTGAGTACTTGATCAGCAGGATAATATCTGTCTTTTTTTCTCTCTATAGGAGTGACGTTCCTGTCAGGTGGCCAGTCTGAAGAGGAGGCCAGCGTGAACCTCAACTCCATCAATACCTGCCCTCTTCTCAAGCCCTGGGCTCTGACTTTCTCCTACGGCCGCGCCCTGCAGGCCTCGGCCCTCAACGCCTGGAGAGGAGAGCTGAGCAACGAGAAGGCCGCCACGGAGGAGTTCATCAAGCGTGCCAAGGTCAGTCCTGATAAAATGACCAGGAAACCTCTGTGCACTTGAAAAATGTGTGTTCTTAATTAAACTGCTTTCTTTTGTCTCCGAAGGCTAACGGGAAGGCCGCGCTCGGAAAGTACGAGTCGTCCGGAACCGGTGGCGCTGCTGGGCAATCCCTCTACGTGGCCAACCACGCGTACTAAACATCAAAACTCCCGCATTCAGCTGTGGCCTAGTGCTAGTCTTAATATCTGCTCTGCTATTTCCCCTCACTCCTCCATCAGTCACAGGCCTGTGCTGTCTACTGTAATTTGATCTCAGACTAAATGTTATTAGATATATGTATTTAAAAATGCAGTACAATAGGGAGCAGTTTTTTTCTTGTTTAAACAAAAAAGTTCAAGATGGATTTAAGATAATATATGACTGAAGTTTTGAATTTTATGTCTAGCTGGGTTTAGGTTCGAAGGCTGAAGATGGATGCTGCAGAATGTCAGTATTTTATGGTTTTCATCTTATTAGCACATGTCGCTACGTCAGGTGTTTTTTCTCCCCACCTGCTCCCAAACAGGCCCAGACCAGCATGTTTGTGTCAGTGTTGCGCTTCTGTCAGATCACAACATTGGACTTTTTTATTTAAACGCAGTAATAACTTCCACACACACAATGGGACCAACCTATAAATGTTGGCATCGAAACARTTTTATGGACAAAACGGCTACAGAAACAGAGTGAAAATGTTAAACTGAGTAGTTCTGCCACCCAGTCGGTGGCTCCAGCAGAGGTCAGTACACAAATGGTACTATAACATTAATATATAAGTCACTACGCACTTGGGATTCATCCTGAACTTTTTGTTCTTGTGCTCCTTCTGACCCATTATTAAAAAATTAAAAACATCACATGTATATTCTCAGTATAACATTAGCTTTAAATAACCCTCTGTAGATGTATTTAGTTGTGTGAAGGTGTCAATATTATGTGATTTTTTTGTGTGTGTCCCCTCCCTCACTGACCCACTGTTTCCTCCCTGCCTGCCCCCGGGGTAAAGATCTGATGGGTTTCTGTTGATGTTTAGATTAAACAGACCAAAATGTGGGGGTCAGCAGTGCAGAAACAGGCACTGCTTTGTTGGAATACTGTGGTGTTTGTGATGCTGAAAATCATCTTCAAAACAATTGGTGTATAGTGGAGAAAATAAACTTAAAATTACACAAAATATCTGATGTTTTTGTTTTTATTATTAATATAAAGTTCTGTCTTGAGAATGAAGTGTGACAGACCTATTCTATAACTAGTCACCAGACGAAACTTGTAAACTGATGTGTGGATTAAATGCACAAACATATACATTTAAACATACTTCGTGTGTGTAGTCAATTTTCCACTGAAATATGTGTAAGATGCCTCTAGTAATATACTGCATAGGAAAATCAAGAGGACAAACTACAATTCACATATGTTGATTATCAAGTAAACAGATCAAATAGTTTCCCAGGTATCATTACATTTAAAATTCCTGTAGTCAAATGTAAAACAAATTTTCCCCAGGGAGTTATTGAAAGCCTGTAGTGAATTAAACAACCACAAGGGGCGCTACTTAGCTACATTCATTACTTGTGCAGCGCCGAAGCATCTCCGTTGCTTTAATTTTCCTCTTAGTGAGTTTCGACAGAAAATGACAGACGTATCACATCATTTATTGTGTTGCGTTTTCAAAGTTTAACAGCATACATGTGTATTTTACCACTTGTTTAAATCGACAGATTTGTTTGTATTTCCGGTCACGTGACGAGACACTGCGCGCATTGGATGCGCGGACGAGCGTACGCGCTTCTGACAGAAATGGCTACCACGGAAGTGGGTGAGTTGATTCATTGTCGAGGTCTTTTTTAACAATTTAATTTCTTCAGAGAACTTTCATTACTTCAAATTACAGTTGTCAAAGAATCTACTTAACATGTACAGCAGCTGTTGTCAATTGAAGGCCTTTTTTTCCTCCATGTTTGGGACATTAGCCAACTAGCATCATGCTGCAGAAATAAAATGCTCACAAGCTTCCATCCAACTTAAAAATTTTCTTTATAAATGACGCAATTTACGTCGATATTATTGTTATTATTAAGCTTCTGTCGTAGCAGTCTCACATCTGGAGCTCAATATTCTCCACAACATCACGCTTAATTTCCAAAAAGACTTTATGATGAAACAAATTCAAACATTAGTAGAAACTTAAGAGGCTAATTTAGGTACAGCATGAATTAAAACTACTTATTTTAATTAAAGAAAAGAAATATACTAATCTTAAAGTAATACATATCAAATATTGGCAGCTTATGTTTAATTTATATTATATGAAATAAAAAACAAATAATGCTAAGTTTGAGTTTGTTTTTTTTTTTTACATTTTTTTCTGTAAATGATTAGCCAGTTATTTGAGGACAGAATGCACTAATTATAAAATATTTACGCTCTTTCATAACTCAGAGCGCAGACGAGGTCAGCTGGCTGCTTTGTCCATAGCAGCAGTGGTCATCCTTGTGGGAGTCCCACTGTGGTGGCGAACGACTGAAACGTACCGAGCCTGGCTACCTGTCAGTCAGATACGACAGCTGGCCAAACTGCAGGTTTGTTTGGGCTTTCTGTCCATATCCGGTCCCCAGGCTTTGTGGTTGTTTTTGCCTTCCTCATGTTTTTGTGTCTGTGTTTTACAGCTCCAGTTGAGTGCAGATGTGGAGGTCGTATTTGCTCGTGGCACCGTAACGCCCGAGCAGCAGAAGAAGTTCCCGCTGACAGAGACACAGGAGGAGGAACATGCTGTCGACGGTGATTTGATGAGGCCGTTTATGATGCTGCAGTTTCAGAACACGGAGCTTGTTTGCTCATTTTTGTTTTTAACGCTTCATGTTTTCAGAAGATACATCTTTGAGGTACAGGTATGAGACCAGGTACCGCACGGCTACAATCATGGAGGAGGACGCCCTGAACAAACCCACTGCTGCAGGTGAGTTGGTGCTTAAATTTAGCTCTCATCAATTCTTTACTGTCTCACTGTAACTATAAGCAGTCATTTTTTTCTGTTCTTGTTTTTGTTTTGTAGAAGCTGATCTATCTCTGCACACGCTCAGTGAGAGTCCGTGTGGTTCTCTGGTTTTATACGTGATCCCAGAGTCATCCCAGTTGCTGCCTGAGGTTAAAACTCCTTATTTATGTTATTTTATTTTCTGTGTTTTATTTTTTGTACTTAATGTACTTCTGTGTTTTTTTTTAACATCATTTACATATAAAATCGTGTAGCTCATTCAGGAATAAAGAAGCAGAACTTAACTAAAATTAGCAAAAGGACAGCTAAAAGCTAAACAAAGTCAAATAGCCAAACGCTAAAAATAGCAGAACAGTTGCTAAAAGTAAGCAAGTATGCTGAAACAGATTTTAAAAAGATAAGTGTTTTTAAAACAATAAACAAAATCTCAATCTCTCATAATCTCTTCTCGTTGCTATATGATCAGCTTTCTGTAGCTTTTATACTTCTCCATTGAACTTTGTTATGAAATATATTTCAGTTAAGAAGACATTGAGATTTTGTTTATTGTTTTAAAAACACTTGTCTTTTTTAAATCTGTTTCAGTATACTTGCTTACTTTTAGTTTTTGGCTACTGTTCTGCTTTTTTAGCTTTTGGCTATTTGACTTTGTTTAGCTTTTAGCTGTCCTTTTGCTCATTTTAAGTTCTGCTTCTTTAGCTTTTAATTACCTTTGGCTACTTTAACTTTTTAGCCAGCCTTTTGCAATGGCTTTGCTACATTTAGCTAACTTTTATTGATTTTTGCTAGTGCTCTGCTTCTTTTAGTTTGAACAACTCCATTTCAGGTTTCTCTGCAGCTTTCTCACTGTTTGTGTGCTAAGTGGATAAAATAACTCAGACGTGTTCCCTCGTGTCTTGCAGAATATAAACGTATACGTTGGCCAGCGTCGAACTGCCCTGCTTGGTGTCGGTACCCAGACGGCGGTGGGTAAGACACTGGAGCAGCTGCTGGCTCAGCTGGAGCCTCGCATCAAGCAGGTGCTGCGGGTCATGTCTTTCAGCCACACGGACATCACCGCTGCCCTCAGCGACAGAGTCCGCTTCAACCCCAGCAGCAAAGAGAGCATCGCTGACAGTATGAGAGCCTTCAAATCCAGTCCAGGTTTGGTTTTGTTCAGCCGGGAACAGAAACAGCTTTATATTTTATTATATTCGCTTTATTTATCAACTCTTTCCGTCTGTTTTCTGCTTACCTCTAACTTCTTTTTAGGTTATGAGATAACGTTCAGTCTGCTGAACCCCGACCCAAAGTCACACCAGCTGCATTGGGACATCGAGGGGGGAGTGCAGACCTACATCCAACCTTTACTTACAAAACTTTCATCTGTGGCCAACTTTAGCATAGACTCTCAGGTAGGGGTGTCATTTTAATTTCTGTCAGGTTGTCTGTAAAAGCTGCTCACGCACCTTTATTTTACAGACACTTTACTATGCCGTGCTCGGTGTGAACCCTCGCTTTGACAACAACCTTGGTGCCTACACGCTAAATGCAGACAGCCTCGCTCATGTCATCAACCCAGTGGAGGCCAGACTAGGTAAAAGAGTACTTTTTTTAAATTATTTTTTAAGTTAATGTTCTTTAAAGATGGAACAGTTTCTTGATATTAACACATAAACATACTTTTGATATTTGATTTGCAGGCTCAAACGCTGCGTCTTCCAACCCCGTTCTGAATTTTCTTCTGTACGTCCCGGATGCTCATCATTCACCTCTTTACATCCAGGATCACAGGAAACAGGAAGTGCCCTCTAATGCSTTCCACTCTCCACGTTGGGGAGGAATAATGGTAAGATTAATTCATTCATTCTGGGTGAAGGAAAGATGGCTTTAAACATGTGTTGGACTATGCCTTTTTTATTTATTTTTTTCTGCTTTTAAAACCTCATAGTTCGGTTTATCTCTTGTAATGAACATCATCGTATTTCATGTAAATTATGACAGCTGGTCATTTGCTCTGTTCCAGCTGTAAAGCTTTATATTATAGGAAATGTTTTTCTCATGTAAAATAGAGGCCAAACGAAAAAAAATCACAAAAAAATTACAACTTAATTAAACAAAAATAATTACCTTTTAAAAAATATGTTTATTCATTTGCTTTTCTAGGTTTATAATGTGAACAGTTTTTATGGCCCAGAGGCTGAGTTCCCGGCTGACATCAACATAAACATGGCTCAAGTCATGGGGGTGTTCCTCGCACAACTTCGGTAAGTGTTAACCTACACTACGACACCTTTTCTTTTTCTTTTTAAAGTAAYGTAACCCTCCTGACGTGTCTCCGGTCAGACTGCTGCTGGGTGTGCAGTCGTCTCCTCCTCCCCACGACTTCCTGGTCGCACCATGTGGCAGGGCAGGAATAGCTGACTGGGAGCTGGACCGTCTCATGTGGAGTCGCTGTGTGGAAAATATTGCAACGGCGACCACAACCATCACGTCTCTTGCACAGCTGCTGGACCAGATAGGCAACATTGTCATCAATGACAACATTGCAGAACAGGTAAAATAAGACGGCATGGTTCTGTTTGTCATTGCATGAGTGAAAAATGTTCCTCTGTTTGGCAACAACAGGATCAATGTCATTTTATTTTAATAATCTAATARAGAGTTAAATGTATATTTAGTTAAATATATTTCATCCTTTCTAATACAAATATTTTCTAAAAAAATGTATTGAAATTTTTAAAATWTCTGAGAAAGCTTCTTTTTTAGAAAATGCTACAGCATACTTACTCTGTCTTCTTATGCTACTTTAGCTTTTAGCTCCTATTCTACCTAAAGTTAGCTTTTTGCTGCTTTTAATTAGTGTTTTGCCACTTTTAGCTTTGAGCTAGCTTTTGGTTACTTTTAGGTTTTATGTACTATTCTACTATTTTTAACCTTTAGCTAGCCTTTTTATTCTTGAGGGTTTCACTAGCATTTTGCTATTTTAATCTCTTAGCCTTTTACTTATTGATCAATAAAGCATATTTGAATTTAATTGAATTTGAATTACTGCATTTAGCTACGCTTTGGATGTGTTTTGTTGTCTTTAGCTGGCATGTTGATACTTATAGCATTTAGATACTAGTGTTTTTCTGCATTTAACATAGATTTTTATTTATTTTTTCCTTTAAACTAGTATTTTGCTTGTATTTTTCAGGCAGTGTTCTCCTTTAGCTTTTAGCATGAGTTCTCTTTGTTTTAGCTTAAACAACTTCAGCAAATGTCAGTAAGGTCATTCAGCACTCAGCGCTTTCTAGATGCAGAATTGTTTCTAACCTGTGTTGGCTCCTCTTGTCTCTCAGGTATCCAGTGCTGTCAACTCTCTGCAGCTGGCTGTAGCAGAGCTGGAGGCCGGAAACCTCAAATTTGCTCTGGAGTTCAGTAAAGAAGCCATCCTGGCTTCAGAGAAAGGCTTCTTTGATCCTTCACTCCTCCATCTCCTCTACTTTCCTGACGATCAGAAGTTTGCTATCTACATACCACTCTTCCTGCCCATGTGTGTGCCCATCCTGCTGTCGCTGCTCAAAATAGCATCTGAGGCTAGACAGAAACYTAGAGAAAAGCAAAGCAAGAAGGACTGAGAAGATGTACAAACACCATGTTAGGAACAAGATGTTTTGTTTTTAACCTTGTTGTTTGGGTACATAAAGTGTAAAATGAGGTTGGGGCTTTGGATGTCAGTCCTGCAGTATTTTGCTCAGTTAAAAATGGGGATTTATGTTTGTTTTACGATTTTATTGAAAGACTACTGTAATTMTCACTGTACAGTTTAAAGCTTGAATTCTTGTAAATGTGTGCAAGTTTTATATTTATTCCAATGTTTCTGTTCATAAGAATTAAAGACTAAAGTTATAACTTGCACTTCAGCTTTTATGGCAACCCTTTTTGAACAGAACAAAATGACACAACACGTAACTAAATCTGAACTAAATTGTGTGACMTGTTAATGCACTTCTTATTGTATATTTTTAAATTATAACAAGAATATATCCTAATTTAAGATTTTGAGCTATGCTGGTTTTTTGTTGTATCTGTTCTTATTGTATCATGGAAGAAGAGCATATTCTATCTTTCACAAATAATACTAGCTTATATTTTTTGACTCATTGCATGTAATATTTATCAGTTATGTAAGATGCTTGTTTTTCTTTTTAAACGGGATCATTCATACCCATTTTTGTTCAGAAAAAAAGCCAGTTTACAATTTTAGTTGGTGTTAACTGGATATYATCATGTCTGAAGGTTACTTGAGGACCCACAGGTACAGATGTCTGAATTTCATGGGGTACTGTACAATATTTGGGGCTCATTGATGGATGGAAGTCACCCATGTGTGGCCAAACATATGTGGCCCATCCCTGGCTTAGATTTTACAAAGTCTGGTTAAGAGCAAACAGGTTTTTTCACAAAGGGTCCTGAATGAGGCAAAGTGGGAAACTTCTGTAGTTAGACAAATACAATTTTTTATACAATAGATGCCATTCCCACCATAGTAAAACTTGAGATGGAGCCTGTTATAAGTGCTAAGTCWGCCTCTCTGATGATATGGGGGTTCATTGGTTCATCRGGCATGGGCAGCTTGCAGACTGAACTGGCCTGCCTGCGGTCCAGATCTGTTACCACTTATATTTTGTGCATCAATAAATAAATAAAGTCCTTCAAAAAAGACCCAGGACATTTGAAGATCTACATCAGACAAGAATGGGACAACCCTTCAAAAACTCCAGCAGCTGATCTCTTCAAGACCTTCACATAAAGTTATATAAAAAGAGGGGGTGCTTCACAGAGATAAACGTCACCTACATTTTTTAGATGTGTTGCTGCCATAAAATTCAACATTACCTTTTTTATTTCCTCAAAAATGTTAGTTTATTGGCTTAATATGRARATGTTTACTGTGTTCCATTGTGCATAAAAATGGGTTTCTGAGATTTACACATCAGTTCATTATGTTTTTATTCATATTTTACACAARATCCCAACCTTTCCCAGAATTTGGGTTGCAAAAAAAATGTATTTACTTAGCAAATAAAACCTGCTTTATTAGTACAAAAACAAAATAATTTTCCTGACTTGCTACATTTACAGCAGGTCTCTACATTTAATTAAAATGGAAGTTAAACTT